AGGAAGATGTGGACAGATGCAGTCTGAATGAAACAAAATTTCAGCATGGTTAGGGTTTTGCTTTCTTCACTCCTCCAGTACTTTAGGTCTTTCTTATAATACCTACTGGAGTGGAAGGAACTGTAGAACTTGATCTCTTGTGAAAGCTTGTTAACATTTATCTCTTCTCACCATCTGCTGTTTTCTCAGACTGCTCTATTTTGTAACAGCTACCGAAATGAATTCCCATTTGTATGATGGCATGGTATTTAAACAGCAGTATTAAACTGACACTGGTCAGAAGTCATTCTACAAGATCTCAGGTAACCTTAGTACTTCTCTGCAGTGTTTCTGTTTAGGATATTTGCCACTTCTGCTCAACACCTTCACATAATGTGATACCTGAAGCATTTAGTGCTGTTGCAGCCTTCCATAGTCTTACTACAGGCATAGCTCAACAGAGCCTATATGGAGTGGCTTTTGTTGGGATAATTGGAGTTTGCCCACTTTAGAACGTACATGGGGATCTTCTCTTAAAGAAAGGAAGGTTACATTCCAGTAACAGGTGTTCTTTGAGATATAGTCTACCCTGTACATTCATATACCCACTTCTCTGACTTCCGTTAGGCTCACCATTGTATAATTAATTGAAAAAAAAAGAAATTGAAAAGTAGAGGCATTTCTCCCCCCACTTTTTTGGCACAGTGTGCATCAGGATTGGAAGGTTGAATGGAGGATCTCAACAGGTAATGCAAATGGGAGATTATTCAGGGGCGGTCACTTGGTAGAATATGGTGCTATCTCTTGAATATTATTATTATTAAGTAACTTTTCTTTCTGGTAATTCATAGATTGATGCTGAGCAACTGTTCAGGTTTTATGGTGAGAGGTAGAAGTTGCTTTAAAATGCAATAATAAGTACTACTTTTTGAGTGCCATTAAAACACTCAAAGTATATATGTTTCTTATTTATGTAGAGGAAATGGCTACATATCTACGTTATGTAAGAAGACTAGATTTTTTTGAAAAGCCGGACTATGACTACTTAAGGAAGCTCTTTACAGACTTGCTTGATCGGAAAGGCTATATGTTTGATGATGAATATGACTGGATTGGCAAACAGTTGGTGAGTACAATTAAGCTATTAATAATATAGTGGGGTTTTTGTGTCAACTGTTTTGAGCCAGTGTTAGTCTTGGGTTTCAGAATACTTGTGCATCTCATGGCTGCTGTTAAGAGTTGTGAACAGCTGTTATTACAAGACCATTTTCAGATGCATTTTCAAACTTTATCTTTTGGCTTGAGGTATTTCATACTGAGTCTCTTTCCAAACACAAACTCTTAATATCAAAGTAAATCTCCGTTCAGTCCAAAATGAGGTGGGTATTCAGACTGGTTTTTGAGTTGAAGGAGCTTAAAACTTTGCAGGTCATTGTCATTATTGCATGTATTTTTTTGCTTTAGGAACTTTCTTGCTTCCAGTATTTTTAAAATGTAGAGCAATCACTTTTCTGCATCTGAGTTATACACCAGATATTTGTCAGTTCATTGTGAAGAAACTGTCTGTATTTTATATGCCTTGTTCTAATGAAATACTGTGTAGAATATCAGTTTCCATCATAGTGCTTCTAAAGTTCCAGAGAATACTATGTTTACGTTCTTTATCAAAAGGGTAAAAGATGAATTTTTCAGCACCTCAAATTTTTCCATGCTTCTTTTTAATAAGTAGGGAAGGGGTGGTGTGTGTAAGTTGGACAATTGTGGATTATACATTTTACCCTGAATTTCCTTGTGTGACTCTGAAAGAATTGTAGTATTTTATTGCTAAATGTTTTTTCAATGTTTATCATTAAGCATTACTTTAAGCCTTCAGGCATTCATCAGAATGTCCTAACTGCTAACTGCAGAAAACATCAGCCTAAAGTGTTTTAGAAAATTAATGTCAGTAATACTCAGAATTGCTACTTCATGAGGTTCTGTAAGTCTTGGTTTGCCTTTTTTTCCTCTTTGGTATAAGTAAATATTTAGTGAAGCTTTTGCTTCAATTTGATAATTTTGGGGTTTGGGTAACTGTCAGATTTGAAGATTAGTTTCTCTTACAAACCTGTATTTGTATTTGTAGCCTACTCCATTGGGTTCAATACATTCAGACCCTGCACTGCCTTCAAACAGAGAAGCATATCAACACAAAGACAAAATGCAACAGTCCAAAAATCAGGTACACTGCTCATATAAGATTATCAGCATTACTCTGTCTTTTTTCTAATGATTTGTGCTATGTTGTTGCTTTTATTAGAATTCCGAAATAAAATTGAATTCACGTTTTCTTTGTTTTTTAAGTAGATTCTTGTTAATGTATTTCTGCCTCTGTAGACATAGCTTACATCAGTAGTGAATTTTCACTACTGATACTTTAGGGGTTTTTTCATATAGTTTTCTGTTTTTAGTGACTATCTCTTCCCCGTATGCTGTATCATCTTTTGGGGTTCTAACATGTATGTATAACATTTTCACTTTTTTTTTTTTTTTTTTTTAAATCAGGGTATTGACCAAAGTGGTAAAAATGTTAGGAATTTAAATCTGTGTCCATTTACCTAAGCTAAGTTACAGGGTTGTGTTAGTGGACTTTTGTTTCTTACTTTGAATTTTAGCTACTTCACTTTTCTATGAAATTGTATGTGTAGGCATATGTAAGTGTGCATATGTAAGGTACAATCTGTATAGGAGTTTGAGTATGCAGTGTTTCTGTGATTTTAAAAAATAATATATAATAGTTAATGCATGAATTGTTTATTTTTGGAATTTTTATTCCTTCTTTTGCATATATTCCTAATGCATTCAAAAATGATAGTCAACAGACCATAGGGCAACTTGGGACTCACAGCAAGCCAATCCACAGCATTTGAGGGCTCACCTAGCAGCTGACAGACATGGTGGCTTGGTACAGGTATTTTCTGCTTCTTTGTGTGATTTAATCAGTCATTTTGCGCTACATAATACAAATATAATTCCTGTTCCCATATGAAGCTCACTTACCAATAATGTTCAGAATGTTCCTATTATTCCCTACTTCACAGTTGCCAAACTGCAATTAAAACAGGTGCAGAAAACTAAGCAGCTTTTTGTATATGGAATTTGTGCTACCTCTTTCTTGGTGAAAGCCTAAAGCAATGGAACTCTCTTTTTGAAGGGATATACACTTACAGAAGTGCAAACAACTGAAGTTTAGTCTTTTGATGAGTTATTTAGTTGTATTAGCAACTAAAACACTATTGAGTGAGTTCAGCGGTTCCAGTCATGCTTTTTTGTTCCTTAAACAAACTTCAACTGAAAATGTGAAGTAGTTATTTTTGCTTAAACTTTATTACTTTTATTCAAACAGTAGTTGATTAGAAGAATGTTTCCTAGGGCAGTACTTTACACTTATCAGTGGGAAAAATTAGTAGAAACCAACAATTTTTTCCTTTATTATTAGTTTATTTCATTAGTTTATTAACTTTAAAGAGCTTTTTTTCCTGTCTTGCTATTAATTTTACTTTTTAATGTCTTGCTCTGAATATATTCAGGGTGAGGTGGTTTGGATAATACATGAGGAAATCTAAATTTAATATAAAAGGATTCAAAATGCTAGCTGCAAATTCTATATGAGGATTTGAACTTTCAGTCCAAAATGAAAATACTTCTGGTTTGTAAAGTGTTATCTGCAGAAAAAAATATTTTTTTTTGTCTACTGCATTTTTGAGTCTGACAATCTAAGTTACATATATTTCTTTTGAAGTTTTGTTTTGGAAAAAAATTGTCAGTGCCTGAAGAAAGAATAAGTCTAGGGTAAAGAAAACAGTGCTGTAATCTCACCAGTGTGATAATTCGGTATCTTCTTTAAGTGCTTTGAAACTCAGTTAAAACTTAACATTCTCTAAATTTTGCTGCTTTAGAAACTACTGTCACGTGTCATATAAGGAAAGCTGATAGATTATAATTTTCACTGTGTCTCAATAAAAGTTTAGAAATTGTTCTACGCTTCCCATTTACAAATATTTTTTAAGCTTTACCTACATGTTTAACTTGAACTGCAATAATTCTCTTGGTAAAATCAGGCAGTAATTTATCTTTTGGCAATGGTATAGTAATGTAGAATCAAAATTGGATTCGAAATTGTATCTTCCAAAATTATTAAATTTCTTTTTTTTAAAAATTTTTTTTTTAGGTTAGGAAAATACATATTTAACTTGTTAAATTATAGTAAGTAAAACTTTCAAGTTGTATATCATATCACATCACTCTTTTGGCAATCATAGCACTTAAAAAACATTTTATTTTTTCTCAAGTAAAACCTTTTTACAGTCACAAGAGATTTTATTTCACTGTAATATATGTTAAATAGCCTTTGAGGGCAAGGGGAACATTTTCTAGGAAATACCAGTAGTGTTCCTTTTTGTTAAAATAATGAAAAAAAATCAATTATCCTAAGCTTTTGTGAATTAAAAAGGTAGTGTGAATTTTTATTCTTTTGCCTTAACTGGAAACTTTTTGAAGGTAAAATATGGCATTCTCTAGTATCACTAATTAATTACCTAGATAATTTATTTTTTGAAGAGTGGAGAATTCAGTTACTAAGATTGGTAATGAAATGAAGGATTATTTGCTGTGTCTTTTTCAAATTCTTGCAATTCCTTATTGTGATTATAAGCATAAAAACCAGCAAAATTTGTTTTGTGAGAGAGAGTGACTGATTTTTCAACATGAAAATTAAAAGATTAGTCCAAAACAATGCATAGGACTAGCCTGAAGATTTGCTGTTACCACTTGGAGAACTGGTATTCAGGCTTAACTTCATCTTGTTATAAGTGGCCCTTATCAAGCTTCTAAAGGACCTTATGTCTAAGAAAGAAACTAAACTGTTCCACAATTAATATGTCTCTTTATTAGGTGGTGGGTCTAGTACTTTAAGTTTGTTTGCCTTAATGGTAGCAAGAAACTACCAATGTCATACGTATGTGTCTTTATATATGTCCTCTTCAAATTAAACTTTTGAAGAATTAATTTTTAACTAAATTTAAACTAGGATAAGATCTGTTATGGAAATACTTAAAGTTATTTTAGATCTTCAGTTTAATAGTTAATTCTCTCACTGTGTATAGGTGAGTAGCTTAAGCTAATGTTCAACATTGCAACACTTCTAATTTGAAACTTGGTTTAAAATACTAGTTTTCAGAAACCTAATTCTATGACTATGCATAGAAAAATGTTCATGTACATCCCCTGGTGGGACACGGGAGAGAATTAGAAGAGTAAAAGTGAGAAAACTCGGATTGAGGTAAAAACAGCTTAATAAGTAAAGCAAAAGCTGCACATGCAAGGAAAGCAAAACAAGGAATTTATTCACTACTTCCGATGGACAGGCAAGTGTTCCACCGTCTCCATGAAAGCCGGTCTACAACACCTGTAACAGTTACTTGGGAAGACGAACGCCATCACTCTGAACATTCCCAGTTTTCTTCTTCCTTCAGCTTTATATGCTGACCATGATGTCACATGGCATGGAAGATCTCTTTGGTCAGTTGGGGTTAGTTGTCCTGGCTGTATCCCCTCCCAACTCCTTGTGTACCCACAACCACCTCGTTGGTAAGGAAGTGTGAGAAGCAGAAACGACCTTGACTCTGTGTAAGAAGTACTCAGCAATAACTAAAACTTCTCTGTATTACCAACACTGTTTTCAGCACAAATCCAAAACACAGCCCCATGCCAGCTGCTATGAAGAAAATGAACTCTATCCAAGCCAAAACCAGCACAACATGTTGAGAAATGGTGAATTAAGCTTTGTTTGTTGCCATATGGCAGTGCATTAACCCAAGCAGAAGATTGTTATTGCTCCTTTAAAGCTGAAGTCAGCTTAGGTTAGTATGACAAACTGTGATTAAAAAAAAAAATAAAAAAGCAACAAAACCCAACCAAACAACAAAAAGAAACCCAAACCAAAACAAAACCAAACCTGTCATAAGTCAGGAAGTTTTTTGGTTTTGAGTTGCTCAAATCTTGCAGATGTCCTTTTAACAATTGCCAGAAGAGGTTCTGTGGTGGTTTGGGTGGATTCACCCTTTTGCTTGCAGCTTGCAGCCAAACACAGCCTGCTCTATCACCCTCCCCGCCCCCCCTCACCCAGGGAGCAGGGGAGAGAATTTGGAAAGAAGGGCAAGGACTCACGGGTTGAGATAAAAACTATTTACTAATTAAAAGAAAAAATGATAATGATAACAACAGTAATAACAGACTATACAAATGAGTGATACACAGTGCTCACCGCCCACTGACCAATTCCCAGCCTGTGCCAGCTAACGATCCCGGAGCCGAGACAGTCCCGAACCGAAACCCCGGAAGAGTGAGCCCGAGCGATCCCCGAGAGAAGTGCCCTGTCTTCCGGTCAACCCTGGTTAATATACTGGCATGACGTGATATGATCTGGAATATTTCATTGGCACATCCAGATGCCAGTTTTGGGTTTTGCTCCTCACTGCACTTCCCCCCTCCCAGTCCTGGTGTAGCTGTGAAACAGACAAACTGTGGCCTTGAGCTGCAGTAACTAAAAACATTGGTATTTTATCAACATTCTTCTCATGATAAGTCTGAACTGAAACACTGAAAGTAAAATACTACTCTTCTAATAACTAAAAAGAAAGAAAATTAACTCTACCCTAGCAAAACCAGGACAGGTTCCAAAGAGACCAGAAGATTGTTGACAAAGGCTTATAAAACTATATATAAGACTATAAGACTACTCATGAATCTTTAACCAGAGTAGCAAACCTTTTTTGCTGATCTACCTGCTTCTCCAAAATAAGCGTCCTCTAGCAGTGAAAGAAAGGCAGACTGTAAAAACAAGCTTAGATACAGTTTTGTTCCTGTCAAAATGTTTTTACTTTCTCCTTTTTTATCCATCAGATGGGAAAGATGGATTTTTTTGGACCTATTGTTGAAAAATAATATTTATAACTAGATTATTAATGTATGAAAGATTTTTAGATATGTACTTTCATGTTTTCCAGTTCAAAGAAAGAGTGTGTACGTGCTTGAGTTTTATCTCTTTTTTTTGAATCTGCTGTCCAAGAAGATAGACATGAGTAATTGAATAGGCACTCCTGGGAAAGAAGTGTGAACGAGCATGCCATGTGAAACTTCGTAGATGTTAGAGTTGGGCAACGTGTTTGATATTTGAGTAAAACATAAATGTTTTCATTTGCTTTTTGAAGGAAAAGAGATGAAAATAGGAGTTCTTTCAAATACCTGTGCAGACTGTCATTTGTTCTTTACAGCAGTCAAGAACACTAAGGTGTCTGGGTTTGCTTCCCATCCAGACAAGGGCATATGTCTGTCATCTTGTTTCTTGATGTACTCTACCCTTGCTTGAGTAAACTGAAGACAGAGGCTTCTGTTTCTGATCAGTTGTTGTTACTAAACCTGAAGCACAGGACTGAAGATCTCTTTAGAAAAGTTCATTTGAAATCTAGATCATGGAGCATAAATCTTGAACCATTAGGACTTACAGGCAAGATTGGCTAAAAGCTACATTGCTTTATATGGATTAGTAAAGGCCATAGCTGTGATTAGTTCTGTAATTATGATTTGGATCCGAAATTCATTTGGAGGACAAGTTGAGCAAATTTTTTTACCCTTGCATTTTTGTGAATGATCCTGTCTTATTTAGCAAGTACTTCCTATGCAAACACCATGTGCTTCCACTCTGCTTATCACTGTTACAACTCGGTATTTCACAAGAAGCAGTGAAATTGTCTTCTGGTGAAATGGGGGAGCATACTGTTTCCACTTACCAGTAAATGTGGACCATGATGACAACAAATATTAAGATAGTTGTAAAATAAAAAATAAATCTACTAACCCACAGTGTTTAGTTTAAGATGCCTAACTCACTATCTTATTATTTATTAAAGTACATTTCCTACCTATTTCTGTCACTGGCTGTTTAGTGCTTCTGCCATCCCCAATGATAAGAAACTAAGCTTAAGCCACCTGGTTGAAACTCCACTGACTTACCTGTCATCACAGAAATCAAATCCAATCTCCCATACTTCCTTCAGTGATAGACCAAAATTTGAGTAATTAGATTCTTGCAATTTCAGACATCTCTCTGTTTGTTTTGTTATTGGGCTGCAGGGTGTTTTTGGCAATGATTCTTATTTTAGTGAAACCTGGAAAAGGAGAAAACTCAGCCTGATGTAAGCATATGACATGGTAAATGGTTTTAGTTCAGTGAACTTCTGAAGCTCTGTACTCTAGTGTGTTACAATAGAAACCACAAAGCAAACCTCAATAGGCAATGCTATTAGCTCTAGTCATAAATAGATAACATGTAACTGCTACATTAAGAGGAGAACTTTGAAGGGTGAGGGGAGTAGGAACATTATTATGATGACTTTCCTTACCTCTGCTTTCTTCTACCTTAATCTCTGACCTTCAGGTCACAGCTGGTAAGAATCTTGAACTGTGAACTACCATTGGTCTACTTTCCTGTAGCTGATTTTTTTATAGATGTTTTCTACAGTCTCCTTATTGTTTGGCCAGAATGTTTTTGTGCAATGTTCTTGGCCAAGAATTTGCTGCTACTTTGTAGCTAGTAGACCTCTTGATACTTTAATGGGTCAGTTAGCACTGCCAGCTGCCCTAACCAGGTAGGCACTGGTGTATATCCAGTTAACCACCTTCCTGGCAGGTTCTGTGAGGTGAATTTGGTTTAAAGTAAAAATAAATATTCTCAGAGAACAAGAGATGTCTCGGTGGCTCAAGAATTTACAAAAGAATTTGAGAGGAAATTAATGGAATGAATATGATTTTTTTTTTATTTTTTAATAATGGCAGTAAGTGTTCTTGTGCTCTAAGAGTGAAAACCAAAAGCTGCCCACAATCTTAGGTCTAGAGAATGTTTCCTCCTTTTCTGGTGTGTGCTCTTTGAGATACAGCTGAATCGGGCCACACAAAGAAGGAAACTAGGGAGTTTCCTTCCCCAATTAAATACATTAATGAAGGGTCTAAGACTGATATCAGGAAAGGGGCTAGTGCCTTCCCTTAAGACTCTGAAGAGACAGGAGGGAGATCAGCAAACCTGATCAGCTTTTGCTTTCTCCACTCACTTTGAGTCTGTCATGTAGATGTCAGTTCCACTAGCAGGTATGAAAGAAAAATGGCAGGAGTGTGGGGATGCAGGAATAAAACCTGGAAAAGATGCTATTATTGGGATAAGAAGAATAATGAAATTAACAAAAATCACTGATTTTTTAAGAGGTATTGTAACTTTAGGTGTTAAGAAATGTATGTCTGGCACTAGCATAATTTCAGGTATTTCTGGTGATTTCAGGTAGTAAGCTCAACAAATGGAGAACTGAACACAGATGACCCAACTGCAGGCCATTCAAATGCACCCATCACAGCTCCTGCAGAAGTAGAAGTAATGGATGAAACAAAGTATGTCCATCTTTTATATTCTTTGGATCTTGTGTGCTCAGCTACTTCAAAATTTTTCTTGTATAGTTTTTCAAAAAATACTGCCTAAACTGAATAACCACTAGTGAGGGGCAAAACTATAGTGCTATCCTTAATTTTGGCTTTAAGTATTTAGATAGTAAATTTTCTATAGCTTATGCTTTTTAGGCTAAGCCCTCAATGACACATCTCTCTATATTAGAGAAGTGCATGCATTTTTGATATTTCAACTAATTTTGAAATATTTATTTTAAGATAGTGTTCTGAGTACTGAAAGTTATGTATGAAAGATGTAAAATTCTTCCTGTGTGATATTCTGATTCTCTTTTTTTACCCCTTCCTTTCTTTCTGTATAGCTGCCAGAAAGTGTTAAACATGTGGTGAGTTCTCCAGCACAGGCACACAGAAATAGCCCCGGGGCCTTTGTTCCTGTTTGGTTTAAAACTAAGTTCGGAGAAATTTAAAATAACATCTCCATTTGGAAATCACAAAACCTGATTTAATATTATGAAACAATTAACTGTTTTTACAAAGAAACAGCCACCTTCAGGAGCTATTTTGCCTGCCTGAAATCTTGCTTGCTTTTAAGTTGTATAGTCTGTGATGTGCTTTATTTAATCTTTTTTAGTGGGTAGTAGAATGTTTTTTCTTACTTGCTATCCTGTTTTAGAGGGGGAAATATTATTTTCAGATGTTGTAGCGTTCAGCTAGTATTTTAAATGAAAATAACTCACTTACATGAACAAGTAATAAATGCTAGCAAATTTTTGAACTTTGCCCATTATCTCTATAAACATAGTATGTACCAGAGTATTAGTCTTTGACAATCTGCTAACTAATTACTAAAACATAACTTCAGGGTTCCTTAAAGTTACAGTGTAATGAAAGGGGAAAATATTAAGGTCTGTTAAGATGGGGTAGACAACTAATATATATATAAATTTGAGTAGTAAAGTCAGACTTGCAAAATACTACAGAAAAAAAATTCTATTCTTGATAGCTAAAGGCAGTATAGCTTTCAATATGTTTCCTTTTGTAATTGTTCTTGGAATAGGATTTTACAAGGGTATCCATCTAGCTTATCACAAAATAGAGGCACACAAGTATGAATAGCAGAAAAATCCAGTAAGCATTCCTTAATAGCAGTAAGTTTTGTAGTGCCCATTTTCCTAACTTTGAGATAAGGGGGAATTTCTCAAAGTACAAATTTTTCTTGAAGTGATTGTTCCACAGGTTCTGATTTTGATGTGTAAGATTTATGTGAATGTGTAGTTAAAACTGTGACTGGAGGTGCCTGTTATGCAACACTTGTGCACTAGATTTCTGTGAGCACTGAGAAGAGCAATTCTTTATCTTCCATCTTTGCAGAGTACTGGATTGTTATTTTTCTGGCAAGAATTCAGTTTTCTTATATATATTTAAAACAAAGAAAAGACCTAAAGCGTAAGGATGTTAACAGGCTACATGTAGAAAAATTCCGTATCCCCTCACTTTGGATAAGTGCAGTGATAACCTTCCTTATGCTCAGTTTATGTACACATAGGAAAAGATGTAAACTTCTGAAGTTTTGAGTAATGCTTAGCACAATTAAACTTATGCTTAGTTATCTACAAAAAGTAAGAGAACTCTTAGAAGCCAAGATGCTGCAGCTGCTTTAAAAGTGTAGAAGTTCATTTCCTCTGATATGAATAACTGATGTACAAATATGCTATCCTTGACCTTTTTGGCCTAGTCTTTACTGTTTTTGTTGCAGGCAAAATCTAGTCTCAATATCCTACTATTTAGTTTTCTTTTTCAGTATGAAACAAATTAGTTTTCCAGTGGTGTTTATTGAAACTGAAGTTTCCTTATTCACAGTTTTTTGGGGGTAGAAGTTGTTTTATATTTTGGCAGTAATTAAAGCAGCACACACATGCACACCCTCCACCCACACCCCCTCCCCAGCATTGCTGTCAGACATCAATGTACAGGTATCCATCTCTCAGTAACAATACTTTAGAAGGTTTAGGGAATTTTACATTTTAACATGGTAGTTAGAAGCTTAATATCAAAAAGGTATTGTGAAATGTTTAAATGTCAGTATAGAGATTTTACATGGCTGAAGAGTGTAAGGAAATACAAGTGTCAGTTTCTTTTTTTGTCTTTGATATAGATGTTTTTGTTTTCAAGGAGACACTTTTATCAAAAGACTCTCACTTTGTGCTTCCTTTATAATCTTTTCTCCATCTGAAAATACAAACAAAGTTAACTTCTCTTGCTGATTTCCTCTGTTTTTAACATTTCCTCATACTCTGAGATGACAAACTTGAATATTTCTAAAACACTTCATCCTTTGTTCTAGATGTTTTCATAGTTTTAGAAGCTTAGCATGACTATATCTTGGTTTAAAAGATCAAAGAAAGAGTTGCCCTATCATATGTGATTTTTAACTATGAACAAATATGTTGTTTAGCTGCATATTAGATCTTCTATTACCATTTCAGTGGGATACAGTAAATCTGAGAGGATAAGAGTTTTTTTCAGTAAGCATTTTATTATTTTGGGACATTCATACAACAGTTCCATTTTTTGGATATATGTTTATATACTCACATGCAGTGTATGTTCTAAATCTTATGCCTTGTCATTTTCATGGGGGTTTTTGTTGTTGTTGTTTTTTGGGGTTTTTTTAAGAAAAGTACCTTTCAGCCCTATTTCAGTTGTTACTTACTGGAGTTGTAGATCTTCCGGCTATCACTGAGCAATTAGCCTTTCTTTCCTTAACTCTTTGCCAGCCATCAGAACAGTTGCTTCTATGAAGCTTGTGTCATTTGGATAACCAAAGGGGTCTGCCATGGGAGGACGAAGAAGGGCAGACAGGAAAAAATTACATGATCTGTCCTTTTTGCATCTTGCATTCTTTTTCCCACTTTAAACACCTGGTAATAATCCTGCAGTAAAGTGCTGCCACATGGTAGATGACAGATATAAAAACAGAGCTACCTAAACACAAATGAGAACTGAAGTTGCTTTAGCATGTTGTGCCCAGGGACTTCTTAAGTAGTAGAAGGAAGGGTATTTAACAGAAAAAAGGTATGATAATGATTTAAATAGGACAATAAATGTTTGAAACCATAACACTGAAATTGCTACTTTAGATAGTATCTCAAAGGTCAGTTTAGTTCTTACTGGAAGACTAAGTTGTTTCTTGAGTTTCATAAATCAGTATTATCCTGCCCTGGAAATGTTTTATACCCTATAGAGAAAGAAGTTATCAGTCATTAAATGCTCTCTTTAAAAAGATAAAAAAGTTCCTTTCCTAGAATTAGAAATTTTTGAAGTGTATCTTCTTAAGCATTTTGCATGTGTATTGAATAATATGATAAATTTATCATATAATGATAAATCATAATGAATTAATACTCATTAATAATGCCCATATCTGTACCTTTAAATATGGCTTCAAGTACTGTAATATATATATAAAAGTGATAATAACACCCTCTAGTGACAGTATCCTTAAGAACATGACTGTATTTCTATTATAAATTAGACTCTTCAAGAGGTTATGCATTGTATATCCTGTGGATCTCTAATGCCAGAGATACATTTCTTTTATAAAATTTATTATCACACAGTGTAGTCTGACCTGTCTTATTCCCAAGTAAATGCGCATGTATTTTAAAATAACATTTATTTGGCCTTGGAAGGTTTGACAGGTCTAGCACTTATGAGCTGATAAATACACATTTCAATAAGTTTCCAGTCCAGTCATGTGATTTACAATGCTCTATGGAATTTGCATTCCTTTAACACTTTTTATATATATTATATATTAATAAGGGATTTATTTTCACACATGAAATAAGTTTTCAGCATTTAGTGAATTTTCCTGAACTAAAATAAAGTTGAGTAGTTCTTATAATTAAAAAAAACCCAAACAACTGTTAGTAGGAGTTATACTCTTTGTAATAGTATTATGCAAACTCCAGAAGACCAGGAGATTAAAAAGCAGTGCCTTTATGTTAGTTAAAGATAGAACTCTTAAATTCCCCATTGCATGATGCCCCCCCCTTCTCTGGTTGACAGAGAAGTAGCAAACTAAATAGGCTATGGAGAAGGAATAGAGAAGAGTATAAGATTAGCAGTAAGGGTGGATTAAAATTTTCTGAGAAGGAAAGTAAGAAAACCTAAAGTGTCCTAAAAGTACACAGAGGATTCAAGCAGTCCTAAATATTTGAGAAGTGTGATCTGCTGTTCCTTGAGACATACCCCATATAAGCAAAATGTAGTTAAAATTCTACATTGTTTTTCTAGCATATAAATTAACTGTCTTGCCCCACTTCCAGCAGATACTACTTAAGTAAGCTATGATCTGTATATACTAGCATTATGAACCCAGACAAAATTTTTCTGTAAGCTTTCTTTGAGGCCTCCTAATCTGAAAGAGGTAAAAAAGCGATTTAGCATCACAGTCCAGGGTAGGATTTCCTCATTTACAGGATTGTAGGATAATTCACGTTGAAAGGGAGGGACCACTGTAAAATGCTTTGTTTTGATATTATTTTTGTTGTATATAAATACATGGGAATGTATAAAATACTTGGGAAAAGACTGAGGTGAAAGAAGGATTAAACTAAATTGGACTCCATACTTGTGCATATAAATTCAAAGCTTAAGTGATAATGGATATTAGTGGTTGTAGACAGCTGCTGAGAAGAATAGTTAGTAGTTATGGGGAGTTTCAGTTGCAGTTGGTGGCTGCTAGCCTTTGGAAACATTTATGTCTCTTTTAGAAGTACTTCAGAGGTAATAAATACAGTATGATATTTCTGCTAGCTGTAAAAATATTTATGTATGTAGTTTCCCCTATTGAATTTTAATTTTGAGCTTCCTCTCCATCAATAACCAATGTTTTTTTCTACTGAAAGTTATGTAACTTTCAGAGCAGCTCTGGTCTGCCTCTGCCCACTGCTACTTTTTCAGTGACTGAGCGACAGGGTGTCCTTGGATGTTTTGAGAAGGTAACTTCTATCTCCCCTTACTTTGGATGTTGTTCTCACCCCTTGTAGAACCTTATTTTTAGACCCTTATTCTCCCTGGTTTTTAAATGCTTTGCCCATTTCCCATGTTCCAAACTAAATCAGCAGGATTCTTTTTGAATTTTGGTGACATAAAATACTTGGTGAATTTAAGGACTTACTGATAGGCTGTTGATGCAGTACACTTATATTTTCACTTCTGTTGTACTTCATCATTTAAGAAAGACTTTTGAGTATGCAGCACTGCAAGTGCGAATTCAATTATCAAACTGCAGAACTCCATGGGGCAAGCTCTTTTAAGGTAGACAGCTTGCGTGTTCACTTTTGATTGCAAATGGTGAATACTAAGTGGAAGCTTTAATTTCAGAGGTGATGATCAGGAGCTGGGAGTTGCTTCAAATAAGGCTAACATTACATGCAAGTGAAAAAATTTCTTTGTGTATTTGTTGCTTTTCTCTTTAATTATTTTCAAAAATACTTCCTGGACTTCTGCAGTCTTCCTCTGTATTATCTAACTCCCTCCAATTCTTTTTCCTTTGGTAGTACTTCTTTCAGTTACCATCAGAGTGTCTCTATTTGCTAAGTCAAATTTGCAATATTCATCAATTTTAGTTTTCTTCCTGTCATATCCAATAAAGCAGAAGAAAGAATGTCGGTATACTTTAATATACTTAAAGCTTTTTCACTGTAGTAATATAATCACAGCACTGAATCGGAACATTAATTATATTGTACCTGAACATTTTCTTATAAAATATTTTGGAGGATAGCCTTGGGAAAGATTTTTACAAGTTCTGGTTGACAAAGAAAGTTCGGATGGTTTTCTTGTATTACCATCAGTAGTGTCTTAAGTGCACAGTTCAGGTGACACGATCTTAAGATCAGCTTTGTATTTGGCATATTACCAGTTAGTATGAAACAGTACTCAGGTAATGCAACATTCCTTATTCTTAGAAATACATTTTAAAGTCAGCGTATAAGGCCTATGGTTTTGATACCTTCACACAGTACTCTAAACTTAGTAGTTATTTTTATTATAGCTTTTTTTCATTCAAAAGGTGAAATAGGTCAAAAATATCTCTACTTCAGTTTCTTTCACTAATAAGTCAATCACCTGCAGTAGAACTTAATGTGTTCTTTGTGGTGCTAGCTATACCTGAACTACATACTTCAAGTGAAATAAATACAGTAAACAGAGTTTAGTTTTCTGATTTCTTTTTATTTCATATGCAATTCATGTCACACGTGCAGGTGCTGCTGTTTTTTCAAGAGGAGGAAGAGGAAAGCCATTCAGCGCCACAAATGACTAGAACCAAGCGGAACATGGGAAATTGCTTATTTGTTCAACTGACGTTTGTGATCTTAAACAAACCAACACAAAACCCCTCCCTCATGACCACACGTTTTCCAGGAACTTACTTAGAAAAAATGCCATGCCTGTGTGCTTTGATTTGGTTCTTCTGCATCTGTCTTTTTATTTCTTTAATTCATCTATTTGAAAGCTTTAAGATTTTGTCAAATACAAGTGCTTCTTTGACGATCAACAAATGGACCACTGAATGGTACAAATGAACTGTATCTTCTGCAAAACTAAACTTGAAAAGTATTTTTTCTGTCCTAGGAAGTATTAGTAGTGTCTTAGCTGAAGACAGATGTCATAAATCTGTTATTTGATATTGTAGCAGCGTATCAAAAGCAGTTTTCTTAAAAAAGGTAGAAGAAAAATACCAATGCACTTCAATATAGAAAAAGAATAAAATCTTAAGATTTACTATCTTTTCTGACACCTGCATTCATTTTTTTTTTTTTTCTTTTCTCCCAGTGTTACGGGTGATACCATAGTCAAATTTTATCAGTGTTTAACCCTGTCTCTGATATTGTGGTACAGTCACTGCCTAGAGATACTGAGGAGGCTGATTTAACTGTTGACAGTTGTCTAAATGGTGGGAATACTAAAGAACAGAAAGTATTTCCAGTAGCCTATGGGTTTGAAGAATTGCTTTTGTTATGCCTACAATGGAATTGCAATACAGTAGAAGTTACAAAAGTGTTTGTACAAAGGATACAGAAATTTGTGTAATTTAAGTTATGCTTCCTGTAATGTTAGTAAGATAGAAGTACCTTCAAAAGAGGATCTACAGAGCAATTATAAAAGAAGAAATAAATGTGAAACTGGTTGAAGTGTGATCAATATTAAAGCCTATATGTTCATTAAGGAAATTGATGATTGACACCATCTTTAACTTGAAAATGTGGATGTGCCATGTAATGTTAGAGATCTGTTTGTAAGTTATTTTACTCTCTGATTTAGAAAATGCAATGGAAGTGGGTTAAAATTCCCCCTTCTCTGTGAACTAGCCCATAACATCCAGTATTTCCCGAGATTTTTTTTCCTGGAAATTTCTTGTCTTTCAGTAAAACATCACTACTATAGTAGGATGGCAAGGATGTGTCAGGTACTTCACTACAGTCCAGTGAAGTGCCTGCAATATGAACCAGCAGTTCTGTAGACAAGGTGGCCCATTTCATATTGTCTTCTTCAGAAAATATATGCTTCTTTTAAAGCCATAATGACAGAAGTGGGCATTTGTCATGTTTAGCTGCCAGTTACTTGAAGAAGGGGTGTGAAAGATGGACGTGACTAGACAGATTTGTTGACCAAAACTCAGATTATCTCAATTTTTTATGATTGTTCTAGAGCTAACTAGCATTTTTTTTTTCTGTCCACACATGCCTTTTGGCATACTTATTTATTTTTAATCTGTTTTGTAGTAGCATTTAAAATGTACATTAAAATAAATGCACACCTTTGAATTCAATATTGCATTTACAAGGATTTTCATTTTATTTTGTAATTTATTTTTCCTTAACAGCCAAAAGTGTATTTTATCGTTTGGGTTATGTGCTCATATATATACTTTGATCTTTGTCTTTATTAATCTTCATGATCATAAGTTTTTGTTTTAGAAAACCTGAACTTGGCCTACGAAAACATACTGTATAACAGGTTGTAAGTTTCCATTCCACTGGTTTGTGTTATTGATTATCTCAAACTCATGAAGTTCTTTGGTTTTATTTTAGCTAAAAAGGTAGGAGGTTACTTGAACATTCTCATATGAAAACACATCATTCTTTGTAGTACTTGACCAAAATTGTTGCTTCCTTATATTTGTAAGCACATGCAGTCATATGTGTATTTCTCACACACCTGATGAATTTTATTTCTGGAGGTTTTTGACTTGTACAGTGTTTGTATAATCTGAACTCCTTACACATAACAAGAAAGTGTGTATGTTATGGACTTACAATATTTGAATGTATAAAAGCTGTTTATTTGCTGAAATGACCAGTGTCTACACACTTGCTTTTCAGCAGTATGTTTTTAAGTGCTTGATTTTAATGCTGAAGAAGGTTTTCTTCTGGCAAAGCAAAGTGTTCAGTATTAATGCAGGTATGTTCAGGTTATGCCAATATGATTTGCATTTCTATCTTTTTTCCTGTCTAAACTAATGAAGTCAACATTAGCTGGATGTCTAAAAATGAAATACATCCCTGTTTAAATGTAAGGCAAAAAATAAAGATAGTTTTTTAAAACTTGGCTGTTTTCCCCCTTTCCTACAATCTTCCCTTGGATGAAATAATAGAAGCTGTTATTTAAGAATGGCTGAACAGTTTTAATCTTTTTGGACAGCAAGGAATTTGAAAGCATGTTACTCAAAATGCTACTTCAACATTGCAGTTATAGTTACATTTCCTTGGTTGAAGGGTGTTATGTTTTAATACACCTAATGATAACAATAGAGTGAAGAGACTTCCATGCCTGTGTTTGTAACCAGGAAATCTACTCAGGGTCTCCATGTATTAAAGCCTATACTGTCTGTGCCACCTAGAATAAAAGGCATTACAAATAGTGTGACATATGCAGTACATGTGTCTTTAATTTTACCAGGTGGGTATCTAGAAAAGGAAGTCATGATTAGTTTTCCAGTCACAACATTTTGTTTGGAAGAGATGATTATTCCTGGCTGTAGAACATTTGGTACGATATAAAAAAGGGCATCTTTACCTGAGAACAATGTTAACAGGCAAAATCGATTGCTAGACTTCCAGTTGGAAGAGTTCTAGCACTTTGATTCATAAGCAGGTGTTTTCATTTGTTTGTTGTCTTACAGATCTATAGAACTATTGCAGATTTTTTTTTTTAAAGTTCATGTTTTCTTTTTATTAAAACTAAAGTTTTCCTCAGAACTTCTTTTTGAGACTTGACAAAAAATTTTAGAAGTATTTTTCAGTAGCTATTTAGGAGCTTTTTGTAGCTTTTTTGAAGGATATTTAATGAAGGTTGTAGAATTGGTTATGTAAGAATTAAGCCACTGTATACAGCTTCATTGATTGTCTTATCAAATTGAATATTGTATTGTCTGAGAATATCTTCCTCTTTAAGTTTTCAAAATGAGTGATAGTAACTGAGGTACTATCAGTTACCAAAGAGCACTTGAATGTTTAGCCAGCCTTTAGTGTTTAGCTAACTCTTAGGTTTTGAAATGGACAACCAAAAATACAGAACACCAAGAAACTGCTTTATAAAGTTTTGAGTGGTTAGGCTACTGTCATGTTTGTGGCAGAGACTAGTATTAAAGGTGTTTTTTACACTGCAGATCTCTACCTTGGTGCTCTGTGCTTTTTTGTTGGCTGGAACAAGGAAGTAATTGATACATGGCCTTTGGTGATAATCAGATACTCACTTCATGAAAATTTAAAGCACTTGATGAACAGAGTGAATGGTGAGGAAGCAAAGATACAATGACTTGTGACTATTTTTTATGTTGGTCCCTAAACTGACTTTTGCTTCCTTCTGAAAAAACCTAGAGAATTTAAGAGTTGATTGAGCATTTATAAGTTGTGGACTGTGTTCTAACTACCTTTTATTCCTGGCGTTGGAAAATC